TGGCCTATTATTCTTATGTCCATGTACTTGAACATGCGAAGGACTTACATTTCCAAGTACCTAAAACCTTAACCTCCTAACAATTTCATTTGATTGGAAGAATTAGCGATGAGGGTCAGATTTCGATCTCACAAATAAATACGATCAAATTCCTAATTTTGGCTTATAGAAATAAATGACGACATCTTAAGGAATCAATACTCATTAATAGTGCAACTGTAATTGTGATAAGGGGTCTATATGTAAAGTGTACATTGTATCATATATATAGAAAATCTCGGTTTGTGCTAGGGTATGCCAAAATCCTAATTCTAGCGGCTATCTTTCTCTTCTTCTTCATAAGACTTTCACATGGTATCAGAGCCTCGATCGATAATATCTCGACGGGTAAAGATTAGGGAAGCTTCTCTATTTTGAACCTCACAGCGGCGTCATCCTCAACATCATCTTTGTTTGCTCGTGCTAGTTTATTCTCCATTGGGAAGCGAGAATCGAGAACAGTAATCCTAGCAATCTTCAAGTACAACAATTCCAACACATCCTAACCTGATGGCACCCTCTACACCATCCTCGGCATCATCCTCTACGACTTCATCTTCTTTGACTTCATCTTCCTCGAGTACAGCAATCCCAACCTTAACGATTTCAGTCTCGCCGAATTCATCCTCTTCGAGCTCATCAGGGATCCTAACTTCCCCCATCCATGTTTCTTTGAGTTCAAACAATCCATTGTGATCTACAGCCCCGCCCTCCTCTCCCTTTTCCGAAATCACACCGTCATTCATGACTTTACACCCTCTGTCAATGCCTCCTACACCCTCCATCGGCGAAGCAAATCCTCTATTCTGTATTTTGCACAATCACCAGGCTTTTCCAACATCTACACCAGCGTTTTGGACGTCATCACAATCAATCCTCCCTCGTGCCTTGTTCCCGCAGACCGCACCGACCATGGGCATTGATCAATTGCTGGACTCCATGGTTTGAATTTATCAAGTGGCCTTATCCCCTTGCAGAGCACTCCAACCCTTCTTTTCTTAGGCTTTGGCGGCGCCGAATGTCACAAATCTTGTCGCGAATAAATTAATGACTGTTGAAGATTATTTAACCTCAAAAATGCAATTCACTGCATTATTAATTTCCCATAATTTACTTGGTTTTGTTGATGGGTCGTGTCCTCCTCCGCCAATGTATATTGATGGTGTTCAACCTAATTCTCACTACATGATGTGGATTAGGATAGATCAAAGCCTTCACTCGTGGTTATTTGCTACTTTATCTCGAGAGGTTTTAGTTGAAGTTCACGATCTTGCACACTCTTTTTAAATTTGGGATCGCTTACATCGTCGCTTCTTTATGAGCGGTCTTGCTCGAGTTATGGAATTGAAACAGAGTATTACTACAATCAAGAAAAGTGAAAATCAATCAATGGATGTTTATTTGTGCGAGATCAAAGTTATTGCGAACTCTCTTGCTACGATTAATTCCCCTGTGAGTGATAATGAGCTCGTGCAACACACACTTTTTGGTTTGATCAGTGATTATGAATCGCTTGTAACGGCGGTGACCTATTTTGGCAACAATATCACTTTTGATGACCTCCATTCTAAGTTAATTCTCCATGAACAACGTGTTCGCTATTTAAAGGAACGAGATCCCGATGTTTCTCCCTATTAAACACTCGTCGCTAGCATAACCACTTTAGGTGGTTCAGATGCTCCAACTACTGTCATGCCAAGCCCAAACGTGCTCATGCGGGGACACAACAGTAACAGCCGCCAGCCTCAGGCTGCTAGCACGGTCGGGGATGGTGGCGAGGCGGCCGCGGTCGAAGCTTTCGTGGTGGTCGCGGTTGTACATTATCTGGTAGCCGTAGGTTTTATGGCCAACAAAATTTTCGTGCTAAAAAACAAGGTCCTCAACTGAATCATGTGAATGACAACATCTCCTTTAATTATTCCGATATTATTGACACCACTACTTCTAATTCTATGGATTTTGCTTCTAAGTTGGCCAGTGATGGGATATTGGGCTTTGTCCATCTACAGTTATTTGTCAACTTTGCTTTAGTCTAATTCACGCCGCTAAATTGTGTTCTCACTTTCTTTCACAAAGGGGTAGTCCCGGTTGTGTGTTGAGTCTTCTCATAGCTCCATCCTCTCCTGCTATGTCTCATGGCGATGCTAATGAGCCCTTGTGGTATCCAGATTTTGCTGCATCTTCTCATATGACATCGTTTGAAGGTATATTATCTCGAAAAACTCCTTATACCGGTCAAACTAAAATCCTAGTAGGAAATGATAATCTTTTATCTATTGCTAATATTGGTGATGTACGTTTAAATGCTTCTGTCAATCAATTCGTCTTAACTATGTGTTTTATGTTCCTAAGTTAAAACACAATTTAATATTTGTCAAACGTTTATGTGATGATAATAATTGTGTGATTAATTTCGACTCCTCTTCTATACATGTTAAGGACAGAACCACAGGGAAGGTTCTTCTTCAGGGTTTTAGTAGAAATGGCGTCTACCCGGTTTCATCTTCCATTGACTCTGATTCTGCCACAACTCTCATTTCGTTGGCTGATAATGCAGATATATGGCATCGTCACTTAGGTCATTGTGGTAGTTGTGTCTTAAATCAACTTAGGTCCAATAATGTCTTTGTGATGGCAGCAAACTTTGAGAATAAATATGTTTTATGTGATCTTGGAAAATCGCATTGATTACCTTTTTGTAATGTTGAGCATTCTTATAATACTCATTTATATTTGATTCATTCAGATGTTTGGCAATCACCAATTTTGTCTAACTTGGGTTTTCGATATTATATTTATTTTGTTGATGATTGCTCACTTTACTTGGATATATCCTATGAAATTAAAATCAAAAGTTTTTACTTATTTTTATCACTTTCAAAAGTTGGTTGAAAACTTGTTTTCTTACAAAATTCAGATGTTTTAGAGTGATGGTGGTAAAGAATTTGATAGCAAAGCTTTTAAGCAACTTTTTCTAGAAAATGAGATTTATTTTTGCAAATCGTGCCCTAACTCGCCACAACAAAATGGTGTCACTAGCGAGGACGTCGATATATTATTGAGATGAGACATACCTTTTTGATTGATGCTAAAATGCCATCTCAATTTTGGGTTGATAATGTATATAGACTATTTTTTTGATTAATTGATTACCTACTCCTCTTTTAGACGCACATCTCCATATCAACGCCTTTTTATAAAGAAATCTGAATATGATTTTCTTCGCGTTTTTGGTTGTGAATGTTTTTCAAATATTTTGACTTGGGTTACTAACAAATTTCTACCTTGTTCTAAACGTTGTATCATTTTAGGATATGCTCCTCATTATAAAGGTTATCGTTGACTTGATCCCATTACAGGTCGTGTCTACATTAGTCATCATGTTCGGTTTTATGAGTCTATTTTTTCATACTCCACTCTTGTTGCTAACACATCGCATGACTCCTCTCCTCTGTTGTTTATTGCCAGCTCACCTTTGTTTCCATCTACTTCTTCTATGGAGTCATCCTTCTCTCCGCAATCCTCGACATCTCGAGTTTCTATTATGTCGTCTCCTACCACCTCGATTCACCACTCCTTAGTTCATGCGGATTCTCTCTCACCACGAACCTCAACTATGTATTCCTTGCATGAACAGTCCTTCCATGTCCATCACAGTCAGTTTTGGCTGAATCTGGTAGTTTTCAGCCTGATGCCATAGTCCCACAGGCTGGTGTTTTCAGCCCCTACAGCGGTGCACACAACAACCACCGTGGCTGACTTCACTTAACCATGGTCCCTCCAGGCAGCAGCCAGTCTACCTTTGGCCAAGCTTGGGGCTTCGGTTCTGTGTGCCTCGGCTGGGGATGAGACTGTTGTGCCTCCTCTCACGTATGAGCCACCTATTTCCACATCTACAAGTTCTCTCGTTGGTCTAATCAATATGGTTGCTGCTTCGAGTGTGTCCTCTATACACCTCACTTCTCACCCACATCCTATGCACACTTGTTCTTAATCGGGAATTGTCAAACCACATCATCTATTGTCCGTGCATACAACCCTTGTTGCCTCTGAACCGTCAAATTTCACACAAGCTTCTGAAGACACAAATTGGCAAAATGCAATGATAGAAGAATTTAATGCACTAATCAATAATAACACATGGCAATTGGTTCCATTTGATGAATTGAGAATTTTGTTGGTTGTAAGTGGGTTTACAAGGTAAAATACAATTCAGATGGTTCTATTGAGCGGTATAAAGCTCGTTTGGTTGCTTAAGGCTTTCATCAGCAAGCTGGTATTGATTTTCATGAAACTTTCAGCCCTGTTGTAAAATCTACTACTATTCATATTGTTCTGTCATTGGCTATTTCCTTTGGTTGGGTTATTCGCCAACTTGATGTTAAGAACGCTTTTCTGCATGGTCTTCTTACTAAGGAGGTGTACATGAAACAATCTCCAGGCTTTGTTCATCCACATTTCCTGACTCATATTTGCAAACTTAATAAAGCCATTTATGGGCTTAAATAGGCTCCTCGAGCTTGGTTTCATCGCTTTAGCAGTTTTCTTCTATCGGTTGGTTTCCACTATAGCAAAACCGATTCCTCAATGTTTGTTCATCGTCGAAGTTCTGAGCTTATTATCCTACTTTTATATATTGATGACATTATTATTACCAACAATTCCTCTCCTCTCATTCATTGGTTTATTTTCTTATTGTCAGCTCAATTCGCTATGAAAGATCTTGATGTTATTCATTATTTTTGGGGAGTTCATATAACTCGTACACCTGATATTCTTTTCCTATCTTAACATAAATATGTTCAGGACCTCTTACATAAATTTCATCTTCATACGCTTACTCCCCTGTGTACCCTGATTGCTATCTAAGAGTATATTTATCCCTTATTGCTGGTGAGTTATTGGCAGATCCCTAGGTATATAGGAGCATGGTTGATACTTTATAATATCTTACAATTACAATGCTTGATATTGCATTTGTTGTTCATGTTGTTTCTCAGTTTATGCATGCTCCTCGCACCATTCACCTTCTTGCCGTCAAAAGAATTTATAGGTACTTGCAGGACACAACTGATCATGGTCTTTCTCTTTGGAAGGCCACTGGTCTGACCATTGTTGTTGCCTATTCTGATGCTGATTGGGCTAGTTGTCTTGATAGCTCCCGCTCCACCTCCTGTTATACGGTGTTTTTTGACCCTAATCTCATCTCTTGGCGCTCCAAGAAGCAACCTACAATGTCCAAGTCCTCGACAGAGGCTGAATATAGAGCCCTTGCATACACAATAGCTGAAACATTGTGGATTCTACACATCTTGGTTGAGATAGGAAATGTTCTTCGTCATCCAGTGACTTTATTTTGTGACAATATTAGTGCAACCTATATCACAACCATCATGTTATATATGATCGCAGCAAGCATATCAAGATTGATTATCATTTTGTTCGAGAGCAAGTTGCTCAGGATGATTTGGTTGTTCGTTATGTTCCCACACGGCTTCAGCTTGCAGACATTTTTACTAAGGGATTATCTTCCCAGAGGTTTCTTTTCTTAAAGCACGATCT